CTGGCATTTGGTATAAACAAGCTGAATCCATAATTCACTTATGTTTGCATTTGTCTCCCACAATCATCAAAAGTGCATCACCTAAATCTGCATCACTCAATTTGCAAGAATAGATATCTGTCATATCCTTTTTGTGATTGCCATTAACATGATACTTTTTTTCTTTTCAATGAATGACTATCTCTCTTAAGATAACCATTTTCTTATTACGCTGGGTAAAAAGTTTTTTCTTTATACCTGACATGTGATTTTTTTTTTATTTAGAATTAGAGGCAGGCTGTTTTTAAAAGCTGCAACCCCACCATTTTTAGTTATGAAATAGCATATTTAGAAAGAAGGAACTATTAATATCTTTAAAGCTAAATATATCTCTAACTTCCAATTTGTTGTCATAGCAATGCTTATAGTAGGGAGGCTAATAGAATTAAAATAATAAATTTTGATACTCTCCATCAACCTTCACATTTATCTTGCTTAAATCCTTAACAATATTAAAAAATTTATTTATTGAATGATTTAATGGGTCTATCATCTTGCATATGAATAATTAAAGTCTTTGTTTTGGATAAAATTTGTTGGAGTTCTTTTGATCGTATGCAGTACTCTAACGCGAGTCATAAACCCTTAGTAGTTCTATCCTCCAATAACTTCGTTAATATCTCATCAACTATCAAATGTAGTTGAATCTTTATATTCCTCGCTCATAATCTCATGTATATTTGAACGCTCAGCGAGTGGTGCTTTCAAAAGCTCATATTTGGCCTTACATCATGCTTCTTCATCAGCCAAAAATCTGAGGCATTCAACTCCTTATTTTCATACGTTACAGAAATCATATTTTGAGTTAGGCTACCAATTGGGCTTTATGTCTCATGGACACAGAAGCCCATTCATGCATCACCTCTCCTTTAGTGTGTTTTTTAGGTGCTTTAAGCAAGGGATTTAAAAAGAAATCATTCTCAAATTTCTTACTTGGGAGTTCTTCAAAATAAGAAATTTTATGACCTTTTAAATTTGATTTATAAAATGAAAGGTCAATTTGCAATTATCCTAAAATTACCTTTTTAAATTTTTTGATTCTTTTAGTTAAATTATTGGTAAAATCCTTATAACTATGATTTTATGAGGGGGAAAATTACTTCTTCCTCTTCAATTTCGTGTGAAATTATTACAAGATAAATAGAAGGGACAACTTCCACGAAAAATCATAAATCAGCAATAACACCCAATGATAAAAAAAACAAAAATTATAACATGCCCATAAAACCAAGCTCTAATAAAAGCAAATAATAAACTATACTAAAAATAAAATCTTCCTAAATAATTTTGACACCCATTCTCAAGTTGGAGCATAGACATCTATCATGCCCAACTTACAAAGAGCTTAAAATTAGACCCGAACAGTCTTTTGGTAAAAATATCTGCTATTTGTTGAGCAGTATAGATAAATGACATGTAAATAGCTCCATAATCAATCTTCTCTTTTATGAAATGTCTGTCAATCTCCACATGCTTTTGCGATCATGATGCACAATATTTTCTCCAATGCTTATGGTAGCTTTATTCTCATAGTACAACTTCGTTGGCATGTCTATCTTCGTTGGCATGTCTATCGGTATTTGTAGCTCTTCAAGGATTCTCTTCAACCATAACATCTCAAATACTCCATTAGCCATAGCTTGATATTTTACCTCATCACTACTCCTTTCCATCACAATATGTTTCTTACTTCGCATGTAACCATATTTCTCTAGACACAAGTACAGTATTTGAAATTCAATTTCCTGTCAACAACTAAGCTTGCCTAATCTGCATTGGTGTATACCAATGTATTTTGTTTTATGGTCTTCTGAAAGAATAAACCCTTATATGGTGTACTTTTTAGGTATTTGAGAATTCTGTTATCGGCTTCAAGGTGTTTCTCATAGGGCGAATGGATAAAATTGAATTACCAACTTATAGCAAAAACGATATATGACTGTGTAAGTGATAAGTATATCATTTTTTTCACCAACTTTTGATAGAGTTGTATTTACCGGGTCACCTTCTCATCTCCCAGCTTTTAATGTAGACCAATTGGAGTGCCTGCAGGCATACAACCACTCATCCTAATTTTTTTTAGGTCAAGATATATTTCCATTGTGAAACAATAATCCCTTTGTTTGATCTAGCAACTTCCATGCCAATAAAATACTCGAAAGATCGTAACTCTTTGGTCTCAAAAATTGATTAAAGGGAAGTTTTCAACTGATTCATTTCATCTAATGTCACCTTCGGTGAAAATTATGTCATCTACATACACAATTTATATGACCATCTTTCCATCCTTTGAACGTCCGAAGAGTATTGTATACTCTCTTTGCTCTTGAGTTTATTGCTAACTTTTAACAAACAATGTAAACTTTTGAAACCACGCTCTCGGTGATTGCTTCAACCGCCATAAAAATGATTTTAGTTTATACATTTTTGTGCCAAACTTTTCATTAAATCTTAAAGGAGCATTCATATAAAATTGTTACTCTTCAGTTCCCGTTGAGGAATTTATTCTTTATATATAACTGTTATAATAACCAATCAAGATTAGCTGCAAGTGGTAGAAGTACTTTTACAGAGTCTAGCTTTGCAATTGGAGCGCATGTCTCTAAATAATCATTGCCATTGGTTTGAGTAAATCTCTTTGCAACCAGTCTAGTCTCATGCCGTTCTAAAGAGCCTTCAAAATTGTACTTAAGTGTAAACACTTATTTGCATCCGACAGTTGTCTTTCGTCAAAATAGATCAGACACTTTCCACGTGTCATTTTTTCGAAGAGTTCTCATGTTCTTGAAAATAAACTCCTACTTAGGAACTCTTACAATATCTTGCACAGTTCTAGAAATCTCCGTATTCGATAAATGTGAGGTAAAATCTCTGAAAGTGAGTGAGAGGTTTTCATATAACACATAATGGAATAATGGATGTTGGGTGCAAGACATTTCCCCAAAGGTAAGGCTAATCTCATTAGACTCATGATCCAAACTATGCTTAGATTCAGGACTAGAAGACTAGAATTTGAAGATGCAGTAAACTAAGCATGAGGTAAAGGATTAGTGATGACACACTTGAGTTTGCAGATTATGGTTTGTGCAAAGTATTTGTAGACTGCTTCATTTGAATTGTCTTTTGCCGCTAGTAGACAAAGTCAACAATGCCACCGTTGTCGTTCTTTTTCCTATTTCTTCGTTGTTATGAGCATCATTATATGGTATTATAGGAACCTCAATATTTAAAGAATCGATGCACTCTCTCTTGATATAATATTACTTCGGTTTTAGGTTGAATAATCAAGGTTGGGACATACTATTTTGGAAAAGGAATAGACGAGGCTTTTCTATGGAAGGTTTCATGGAATTGATAAGTCATTTCATTACTAGAGAATCCTCATATTCAAATTATTAGCAGTTGATTTTGGGATTTCTAAGGTTCAATTCCAAATTTTGTTCCTCCTGTCGATCGCCAATTTTATAGATTGTGCTCACTCAAGATAGTTGTGTCATTAAGTTTTATAACTGTGAGGTAAGTTTGTAAATTTTGTAGAAAATATTCAGTTAATGTAATCATTAGGGGAGTTGTCGGTGAGTTATGGTGATTTAAAAGTTATGTGTACCGATCGATGTTGTAGAATTTCTTTGAACTTTCGTCATCATTGCTAATTGCTACGACATCCTCAAAATCTGAAAAAAAAAAATCAAGAACTGCGCAGAACTCTTTTATGCCGCAATCCTGATTGTTATTTTCGATCAAGAATTGCACAGAATTGGTCTACGTCGTGATCTGTTCTCTCCCTGTGCACGTCTGTACCCTGTGATCCCATCATTGGCTTCCTAGCCAGGAAAAAGCCGCGACCCTGTATTTGTGCACAATCCCGATCTTTGCAACTAGCTTTAATCAGGACTAGATCGTGATGACTGAGTGGGAGGAGGAGAATACGTGATCTTCGTAGATTGATGCCTTCCTCTTAAGTTCCGCGATCATTCCTTGGAGTGTCATGATCTCATCGTTGCCTTCCCAACTATCTTCTAGGTCTCTAATACTGATTTTATGAGGGGAAAAAAATTGTTATTCCTCTTCAATTTCATATGAAATTATTACAAGATAAATAGAGGGAATAACTTCCACATTACGAAAATCATAAATCAACCAAATCAACCATAAATCCCTATGATAAAAAGAAATAAGTATTACAACATAACAATAAAACTAAGCTCTAATAAAAGCAAATAATCAACGATACTAAAAGTGAAATGTTCCTAAATTATCCCAACACTAACTTTTAGTTTAGTTCCCAAATTAGAGGCTTTATATCTATTCCTAGAAATACTTTTAAATCGTGACATTTACTGCATCTGTGTGCGTGTGTGTGTTTTAAATCTTTGTGATTTATGTTTCTACTGCGAGTCTTCACATTTCGTATAGATGCCTTAAAATATTATTATTTTGTCTTCCATATTTTTAATTTCTTTTTCTTTTGTATTTTATCCCCAAAAATATTTTGTTGGCACGTGCATGTCTTCAAATTTTAATGCTTATCTTCAAAATAATTATACATGTATTATTTATTTATTTTTTGTTTCATATAAACTTAGGGTGTAAGATGACCTTTGGGCTTTCAAATGACTCATGTCACAATTTCAAAGGCATGGTTGTAATTATAAAATTATCTAGGGTTGACATAGAAACTTAGGGTGTTTGGGCGTACTAATGATAAAATTGACCCAAATATTTTTCAATGGTTGTAAAGCTCTATTAATTTTTTTAGTCAAATTTTACATACCCTGAAGGGGGGAGATTGATAGGAAACATAATAATTGATTTTACAAAAAACAATTTACATCAGGTGGAACAAAATATGTATGTTACTTTAACAGTCAAATATTTTCTCTTAAAACCTGGGTAATCATTTACTAGGTATTAAACCTTTTCTTTCCTTTTCTTTTTGGTTGATTTTCAATTTTCGGCAGCCGCGAGAGGTTCAGTGAGATGCATGCAAGATTGTGGTGGGAACAAAATCGTAGAAGGATACATGAACAATATCTCTGAAACAAGCAACGAAGTTTGATATTACACATAAATTACACAATACTTCTGTTGAACTGAAATGTAATCCCTCGGTTTTAACAAGTTGTGCTTATCTTTGCTACTCTTCAAGTCTGCTCAATGTTTGTTTTTTCTTTTCACTGTGCGTTATGTTGTGTTGGGGGCTTTCATAATTGGAATATCAAATTGTGGTTGTAGTTCAGTGTTAAATATCTCTTGTTTTGATGAAGCCAAAATATAAATTTTGGTTGTAGCATTTAAGCACAATTGAGGAGTAAAATTGATAGGGATTTTGTTAATTTTTCTTATTGTGTGGGATTGCTCTTGTAATTGATTTGATTTGAGTCATTGTTGGATAAAGATCAATCTGGCTTGGAAATTTGATTGGATTTATTTTTTCTTAAAAATGCTTTTAATAGCTTAAAGCTATTAAAATAGTGTATTGTGAAGGATTGTTTCCTGGGGTTTCTTCATAAGTTCTATTAATTGCTTGTTTTCTTTATCTAGCATATTATTTGCATACATTTTTTTTTTTTTGGGGCTATTTGAGCTATGAGGTATACTTAAGTCGAAAAATTATTGCGTGCGGAGAGCGCACGCAAGCTCCGTGCGCTCTTCGATCACAACCTCACATCAACTCAAGCCTGTATGACAGTGGGTTGATGTGCGGCTGTGCTTTTCGTGCGCAATAAGCGCTCTACTCAAGTCACGCCACTGCAGAGGGAGGTCGGGTGCCCATGTTGTGGCCTTAACTGCAAATTAATTTTTACA